AGTTGAATTAATAGTACCTGTGATCGCATGAAGTGCACGAGTAGTTTGTATGTTATCTATATATATAAAAGCGAAAGTATGTGTGTATGTTTTATTTAAAATTGTATTTTCATGTATATCGATTGATCGGAATGATCGCATTGTTTACATTGATTTATCAATGTTTGGTTTTTCGTTCCATATGAAATTGAATCGTGTTCATATGAATAAAAATAAGAATGCATATTAAATGATAAAAAATAATGATAAAGCATACAACGCAGTGATATACAATTTATTTTGTGGATACCTGCATTTTTCATAAAAATTATTTCAAAAATACAATTTGTTTACTGTTGTAGAATTTCTCAACAAAAATTTTAAATCAAAGGTATAGTGTGTGAAGAATGGAGATTAAACAAAAAACACCTAATATCAGAATGGAAATACTACTCTTTAAAATTTTGAAAACACAATCTATAATTGATCACAAATCATTCAAATCACAAATGAATTACAACGAATCATGTCTACCCCCTTGTATATACACAAATATTTTCACTTTTTCACCATTTTTTATTATTTTCTTCAATGAAATTCACAAAATGTACACTGATAATTTTCATGTTAATTGGTGATTTGTTCGATCAATCATCAATGGGTTTCTTTTTTATTGAATGAATAATTCTCTCAAAAATCTATGTACACTGCGATTGACATTTGAAATAAATGTATTTTCATGTGAATTTAAATGCACAGGCAAGTCGATATTCAAATACATACAACAATTTAGTTTGATTGTTTTCATTTGAAAATCATAGAAATATCCAACGAACACTTGATCGAAATTCGACAATTTTCTTTGCATAAATATGAATTCATTTTGAAAGTAACTACCATCGCTACAAATCTAATAAAATCGCTTGAGTTGTTAAAAATTTACTTTTTTAAGCCATTTTCCACGGTTTATTATGGTCGGCCATCATGGTTAACATAGTCTACTATCGTTGATAATTGATTAAAACTGCTTGAATTGTCAATTTTTTCATTTATCAACATGATATCCGATGTTAATAACCGTGTTAAATGGTGTAAGACCATGATGGACCATGATGTCCGAACTCAATAACCGTGTTAAATGATATTAGACTACGATGAATCGTGGTGTACGACCAAAATAACTGTGTTAAATGGTGTTAGACCACGATTGATCGTGATGTACGACCAAAATAATCGTGTCAAATGGTGTTGGACCACGATGGCCGACCAAAATAACTGTGTTAAATGGTGTTAAAACACGGTAGATCGTGATGTACGACCTAAATAACCATGTTGAATGGTGTTAGACCCCAATGGCCGACCAAAATAACTGTGTTAAATGGTGTTAGATCACGATGGCCGACCTCAATAACCGTGTTAAATGATGTTAAAATCGCTTGATTCGTCAAAAAATTTCATTTTAAAGCATTTATCCCGGTCCATCATGGTCGGCCATCACGGTTAACACGGTTTACCGTCCATTCTCATCTTTTGGCAACATAAACTATAAAATACAGGCAAAATAACGGTGAATATACGGTTTTTTGACCATAATGGGCGTGCTAGACCACGATGGCCGACCCTGATGGTGCCTATGTTCACCGCCGGGCCAAAACCTTTCCAACGGTACCACTTTTATCCGGATCGGTTAAGGCGTTTGGACGCCAACCCGGAACACACAGACATACATACATTCGCTTTTATATATATAGATAAGATAGATTACCTAATTCAAAAGTGGCTATTTTGGAATCAAACAATGCTTATACAATTACTCTGAGATGTAGAGCAAAATCGAGAAAAATTCTTCCACCCTAACATGCATCTTAAAAAGAAAAATCGTTTGAATTATCTATTCGCCTTGGTGGTTTATTCAAAATAATTTAAATAATATAATAAATCCAGTCTAATAAAAATTTGCGAAAATAATTACCAATATGACGTTTCCTTTGTAACTTTTGTGGATCATGTTTCTCGTACGGCAGTAATGTTGAAACATGGAACATTATTTCAATGCTTCGCCAATTCGTGTATACAGAATACAATCCTGAGAATGAAATGAATAACGACCACCAAACGAACGATCATAAATGAATTCCATAAATGGCGAAGTATAAATATATATTATAATAAAATTAGATTTTTGGAAAGTCACCTGTTAGGTCGTGAACTGTATCGAGACCACCTTTGTATTTATCAAAACCACGTAAACGAACTTTATCACCAAGTAGTTGTAGGAATTCATCAAATAATGGCGAATTTTCGTTATTGTCCAAAATTTGCTCTTCGCTGAATTGATTTTCCTTCACATAGATGACTCCCACCTTTAATTCCGATTTAATGAAAACCTATTTTGAAATAATTTTTTTTTTTTTTTTATTTGTTTAAATATTCAGATTTATTACATATAATATTCCAAATCCTTACTTGGTCCAATTTCAAAAGTTCTTCAGGTGTATCTGGTAACTGACCTAAAGTTAGAGGTGGATTCAAATTTATTTCTTTACCTAAAGACCTAACTACTTCCTCTCGATTATATCTAAAATAATACAAAACAAGGTTAATAATATCATCGATTATGTTGATTGATTGAAAGCATTACCTATCGGCGAAAACGCATGATGCTGGTATCAAGCCGTGTACTGTATATGAGATGGCCCTAACTAATATTCTAAATTGATCACGGCCATTTAAGTTTTCTTGTTTGATTGATAAAATGACTGGTCCTAAGTCTTCATCATTTGTAAAATAATTCCAATGTTCTAAAATATAAAAATAATTGGAATATATATTAGATTAATTCACAGCAATGAAATCCCTTCTGAAGAAATAGATGGTGGCGACAGTGATGATGGGATTTTGAATCAAGGGGAACGGCAGTCTTCAAGTGACGCAATACCAACATACATATGAAATATGTATATTTTGCGTCACTCTATATATTCGTTAAAGACATGAAAATCTAGACCGCTGACTTTTGGAAAGGGTTTTTTGCATATTTTAGTAATGCTCGGGCACCAAATTAAGAATCCGCAAAAAATTTGATCGCCAGGTGGCATTTTGAAAAAAATGCTGAAATTTCATTTTTTTCGATTTTTGACCATCAAAATAATTTTTTCAAACAAAAATATGGCCATATTTGGGATCTAGGGACTGCGTGGATAATGTAAAAAAAAGATCAACATGATCGGTTGAAAAGTGGCCGAGATATGGTCAATTGGCCAAAAATGGCCAAAACTCTCGAAATTGACCAGATGGTATGCTTGTATGTCTGCTTTTTTTTCTCCGTAGATTTTGAAAAAAGTTTTGAAACCAAGTTTAATTGAAAGTAGATGGAAAACTGAAAATACATGTGCTTTTGAAATTTTCGATTTCGTCTCGTATGTCTCTCGGGTCTGGGGTCGAAAATTTTTGGGAGGCCCTTTTCGAGATTTTCATCAATCCAACATTTTTTGGTCATCTGAATGGTATTGAAATGATTTATCGTTGGAAAGGTACAAGACTCACCTTTCTGGATCCGAAGTCAAAATGAAAATATTTTCAAAAATGTCCACCAGGTAGCGTGTTATGTGACATTTTCGGGGAAAAATGACCATGTCTTTTTTTACGTATTCAAATTAAAAAAAAAATGTCTATGAAAAAAATCAAAAAATTAGGCGTTTTTTGGGGACTAAATATGTGATGATTTGGCTATGTGTCATATCGGGGAAAATTCATTTTAAGAAAAAAATTCATTCCGAAGTTTAATTTTTTTTCTGCAAATTTTCAATTTTAAGTTTATTTTTGATCACAGGTATACGGCGTGCTTTTTAACAGAATCATGCCATTCTTAGCTTATTGGAAAGACATTAAGGTCATCTTGATGAGCAATAAAGAATTTTTTTTAAAAGAATTCAGCGGAAAAGGTTAGATCAGAATGACTAGACCACGAAAAATGGGGAATAATCGATGAAAATCGAAGTTAATCGTCATTTATCTCGAAAAAATGTATGTCTTGCTTCGATTTTTTCCTCATAGATCGAAAGTGCACTCAATTTTGAGCCGATTTGCACATTTTTTAAAACCAACATTGTTTTATTTGGTAAAAATTGGCAAAAGTTTGAACTAAGCGGCCACCTATATTTTAATATCTTACTAATCCACTGTAATATGCTAGGTTTTAACTTTGTTGGTCCACTTTGACAACTGATTTTACATAATTCGGACCCGAAAAATTTAATGGTGGCAACCGTTTTGAGAAATTGGTTCAATTTTTTGAGATTTTTCGGCTTGAAACCATTTCTTTGGAATGATATTTCGGAAAACATCGTTTTTATTCGATTGCTATGAAAATTGGCATTTCGGGATTTTTTGATACGAGAATATGACATTTTTTTTACAATAAAATCAGGTCTTAACATACTTAGCGTTAGAATTTGGTCATCGAAATACTAAAAAACTATTGATATAAGTACAAAACACTTCTTACGAAGTTCCCACTGTGACGCAATACTGTAAATCTGGAAATGTTAATATAAATTTTCCATGACGCGTTCATTCATATAAATTAGGGTGTTTCCACATGGAAAATATTAAAAAGTGGCTAGCATCATTTTGAAGAGCGTAAAGTTCTGTATAAGATCATTTGATTTTCGATGCTGATTGGTCGCCGATGTCATTTCCTGGACTAAAAACACATTTGTAAATTGATTTCATGTCGCATTCACGCCAGAATGTGTAATTAATGAAATTATATGAATAAAATAAAAAACATGAAATATAATTTTAATATCAATATTATTGCTTAAATATTAATAAAAGTAACACAAAAACTAACAATTTTACCACAATAAACCAAAACAATGCAAATTCGCCAATTCATTTGACACATAACCTGTCATTTGTCATGCGTGAGCGAATCACGCTTCAAATGTCATTCTGTCAAATGAATTGGCGAATTTGCATTGTTTTGGTTTATTTTGGTAAAATTGTGAGTTTTTGTGTTACTTTTATTAATATTTAGGCACTTATTTTGATATTAAAATTATTTTTCATGTTTTTAATTTTGTTCAATCTTATATTTTCATCAATTATAGATTTTGGCGTGAATGCGACATGAAATCAATTTACATAAAGAGGCTTACGTACGCAAGCTGACTTTTCCGCATGGAACCGAAATTTTGAGAATAAACTGAAATCATGGTCTTTGTATGGTTGCAGTAACTTAAATTACCGTGAAAACTTGTGAATATTATTTTCTTATCAAAATAAATAATCACACCAAGTTTAAAGAAATTTCAATCCAAAAAAGAGCCTATTCGAAGTTTCAGATCATTACGGTACCACAAAGGCAAGTCTTTCATATTGGGTGTAGGCATTAATTCCTGCGGTCGACATTTAGATGTCGCTACTTAAAATTGTGTGTAGCTTGACAGGTGAATCCAATTGCATTTTGTACATCTGACATTTGCCAATCTAATTCAGAGCAGAAAGATTTATTTTTGACACAGTGTCATTATTTTCTGATCGATTCAAAATGAGTGATGAAAAAGTGTTTTTCTGTCTGGTCCTCCTTTGGTTCAATTTTTTCACTTTAAATAAAGTGAAAATACATCTAAAGGTTATAAAATGTTGCAGGAGACGAGACCTCTCAATCTCCACAGAGAATGTTGAATTTGGTGAAAAAGAAGTGGTGAATTTGTTGAAAAACTGTGAACTCACCAAAAAAATTTGAATGATGGGCTATTGGCGTTTTTTATTCGATAAAGATGCATGAAAAGGCATCAGAAAACATCAGAAGCATTAAATATATGCGGATCAATCGTTTTAAGACATTTGTAATGAGGTAAGACCAAAGAAATTGTGTGCCACACCAGCTGAATCCAAAACTAGTTGTAAGACGTTTTTTCACATTTTGGCACAATGTTCCAAAAATAGAAAAGAAAGGAATTTTTGTATCGTATTGTAAATGGAAGTGAAGAGGGCATCTGCTACGATAATCCCAGGCATACAAATAAGGGTTCAATCCGACACAATCGTCAAAATCGACAGCATAGCAGTATTTTGATGATTTCTCGGTAATGCTCATTATTTGGTGGGATTGAAGTGGTGTGGTGTATAATGAGCTGCTGAAACCGGGTGAAACAGTCACGGGGGATCGGTATCGACTACAACCAATACGTTTGAGCAGAGTACTGAGAGAAAAATTGAGAAAAACTGCGACAAGAAATAGTCGAAGGATTTATCAAAATTTGACATATTTCAAACATCGCAAAAAAAAAGATAGGGGACTCTGGTCGGGATGAGCTTGATCACCCCCCCGTACTCTCCAGACCTTGTCCCTTCTGACTACCACTTGTTTCGATCAATGCAAATGGGCTTGTCTGAGATATCGTTTCGAAATTCTGAAGGAGTGCGAAAATGGGTCGATCAATGGACAGCTGGAAAAGATGGGGAATTCTTTCGACGGGGAATCGACAAGCTACCAAGAAGATGGGCGGAAGTCATAGCTAACGATGGGCAATACATTGGTTAATGTACTCATTCTTATTATTTTTAAATAAATGTTTCTTTTCACCAAAAAAACCGCAGGAATTAATGCCTACACCCAATACAAAAATGAAACTTTTTGTGGATTTTTGTATGAAAAGTGTGTGAAAAATTGATTGCATCTTAAAACTAACATCAGATTCGGGTTTCTCCCCCCACTACACATTCATTCAGCGTTCAAATTGAAAGAATATCATTTTAAGGCATTTTTCTCATAAGTGCCTCTTCAGAGTCTAAGTTTTACACCGATCAATCAATGTCGTTGAAAATTTGACCAGATTTATTCCTCGTAGTGCCCAATCATCCTGTGAAGTCACATTTTGAATTTCATGTCTGAGCACGAAACCATCGTGTCACCAAAATGGTTAAGAAATGATCAAAAATGTATGGATGTGGGATTGTGGGTACTCCATTCGGACCAAAAAAAATTACACCGGTCAACAGATATTGCTCAAAAACTAATCAGCACGTCTCCTAGTAGTCTCAAATCTTCCTGCAAAGTCAGAATTTGAATTGAGTTTTTGGAAGAGGATTAATCGTGTTAACAAATTTTGGCAACACGCCACAGGACACAGGACACAGGACACAGGACACATCACACACAGCGACGCACATTAATATGCCCCAAAATCATCTCCAATCGTGTTTTCTACATTAAATATGCATAGAAAACATGTTTTGGGATGACTTTAATTTTGTGGCCTAATACAAAAAAATAGTTTGAAATATATATATATAGTTTGAAATATTACGATTCGGCGCATAATACCAGAGCCACACCGCTATTTGATATACCAATTAGAAAGAGTGATTACACAAAGTTTGAACCAATTAATTATATACGTATGTTAGCAACATTCAATGATTATTATACAAAAAAAAATCCAAACAGTGATACTAATTTAATTGATTTAGGAGTCAATTTTTCTACAGTAAAACTGAGAATTGAAAAATAAAAAGTCGAACTCGCTATATATACATGTAATATACGAAATCCGAACCTAGAAGGCTGTTGGCTCCGGTTGATGTATGGTTGGAAAGCCCTTGGGCTATAGATCAAGAAAAAATAAAAAAAATTGAAAATCGGTCCACCTGTCTTCAAAATATGTTCCTTTCAAGAAAAGGGTCAAAATTCAGTTGTACGGCCATATATGGCACTAAATGAGGTCGTTGACCCCTGAAAAATCGGTATTCTGATTCTCGAGCTCAATACATTTCCAGCGGTACCTCGTCGAAATCGATCAATCCGTTCGAAAAATTCCGCATTTTGAAAATTTCATATGATTTTCCTATAAAATCATTTGGTATATCTGTCTGTCCGCGATTTTGCGTACTTGTTTCTGATCTTTTTGAAAATTTATGTGCTAAGACTTTTTTGTTCTGTCACTTTTCGATTTGGCCGCCACGTTGGCCATGGCTGGCCTCTAAAAGTCAGTTTTCGACTTTTTTTCCTATGGTCACCGAAGCGCCATGACTTGACACCCTTCGGACATATGCATATCATTGGAAAGGTCTTAAAGTGAGCTATCGAATGAAGCCATTTGTGGTCCAAAAATTTCAATTTGGAGTGGCCAAATTTGCCAAAAACCAAAAAGTTACCGTTCGGCCGGACACATAACGTCTATTACCTCGAAAACAAGCTCAAGGATTTTTTTGAAAATTTTGCCGATTTTAGGCCCAGGTCTAAGCTATAAAATGCCGCATAGCTCATATCCCCAAAAATTCTTGTTTACAAGATATGACCTTAGGTAGTGCGAATATGGCAAAAATGGCCAAAAATTACAAAAAATGTTACTTTTAACATTTGAAGTATTTTATGGGCCAAAATGTACTCCAATGACTCTTTATGTATGCTCTGTGACTAGCCAAACAAAATCGAACAAAATATCGACCGTTTTGAATGGCTATTCCACCAAAAATCGGCCAAATGTATATACCAAAATTCGAATTTTCACAAAAATGTCTAGATGTATGAAATATGAAATCTTAACACCAAATAACTACATGTTTGATAGTTTCCTCGCATAATATCGATAAAATACCGAATTTTATGTCCCCTCCCACCAGGCCAGAAGGTGCACTATAACCGTGAGAGGTGCATGCGGTTAGTCACAAATGAAATTAAAAGAAATCTACAAAAATGTTAGTATAAATGGCAAACTATGCAAAAGGTCATGCAAAAATGGCCATTATTTCATACGGTCACTGTGGTATCTAGACTTGACATAGCCAGGACATATGCATCTTCGTTAGAAAGGTCTTAAAGTAAGTAAAAATGTTTCTTGAATTTTTAACATTGAAAATAGCGCTTAAAAAACTATTGATATCAAATAAAAAACCTCTATCGAGGTGAAGAACGAGTGACGAAACCGAAATTTGAAACACAAAATTTCAAAGGCTTTTTTTTGGACAAAAAAACAAGGTTCTCAAAGTCTAGTTTAGGGGTAAAAAGGGAGTATTTCAGACTTTAAAGGGCCGTATCTAGACCCCAAATCAATTGGGGGATATTTTTTGATGCAAAATTTCTTATATTGGACCCCTCTAACACATCCATCAGGAATTTTTAAAATCTGGAGTGACACGCTGGGGATATTTACTGGTTAATAGTGAATAGCAACCTAATAAAATATCATCATTTTTTTTTTCCTTTAACTCCTAGTGGAGCATAGGGCCTTGAGATAAGAATTCTTTATCTTTCTGGTTTCTGTTGATCAATTAATTCAGATAAATCGGTGATCAGCCGATTGTATCCTACATTTCTTATGATTTTGCCATATTTTATATGGCGTTGGATTTCTATTTTACGTGTCTGTGCTGAAATCCATACCTTTGTTGTACACAGACACGGTTGACACAGTATTTTACGACTACATACGATGTTCTAAACGGTCACCCATTTATCTCCTGACCAAAGCTTGTGCAGCTTAACTCAGTTGATCGAATAGTGCCGCAGTAGTCGTAGTAGCCACTGTTCCCACAAAATATCATCATAATACAATTGTATTAACACATCCATACAACAAAATGCAATAAATCTATGTTTGTTGTTAATTAATCACCGTAGAAACGTGTGATTCTTATTTTCTTACCAAGATACATAATCTCAACAGATTTGAAGAAATTTCAATAAAAAATATTGATAACCTCCATAAACATTTTCGATTTTTGGCCAAATTTTGTATGGTAGGTACCCAAATTTGTATTGAAACTTCTTCAAACTTCTTCTTCATTTTTTTTGTGATTTTTTCAAAGAAACTCTGTTAAAACTTGATTGTATCTCAAAACTAACGTATTTTTGGATTCCTCGTGCCAAAAAAACTCCCCAATACGTGTCTTTTTATAGCGAAACTTTTTTTGGGCATTAAAATGGCTCGAGATTGTTAATCGAGAAAACTTCCAAGTGTCCTATCGAGTACCACCGATCGACATCTGGATGAAACAATGATGCCATATATGTTATTTTTTCATGTTTTTCACGAAACCGAGAGGGGCATTTTGATCCGATATACCTTTTTTTGGGCTGTTCATATAGGAATGCTATCCCACTGATTTATTGGCATTTTAAGTGCTACAAGGCTCCGAAGCACTCCACAAGCCCGAAACCCGTCCAAATCTATTCTGCATTAAACCACTGATAATTTCTGAGCGAATCACGAAGGAAAAATACAGGACGAAATTTGACCGAGAATCGAACTTTTTACCTTATGTTCACAAACCTGGCGCGCTAACCAATAGCGCTAAACCCTTCGCACACTACTGCCTTGAATATATTGTACTATATGATGAAAATGTATTGTTATAATTTTTTAATCATTTTTCACCTGTAGAATAAAAATATTTTTCGTATGTTTCTTGTTCAACAGATGTCAACTCAAAGCCTTGTTGCATGTCCCATTGTTCTTCAATAGCGCTCTTCTTCCTAGAACTAATTTGAAGAAGAGGTATTTATAAACTACTTTTATGTCGAGAGTCTTTCAAACAAAACATACCTTGGAGCAGCTTCAGAATCTTCATCATCCTCATACAAGTCACTACAACCGCGTTCTAAGTGTGATTCTGAGTTACCACGTCCAGAAATCTTTTGTTCATTTTCTTCTTGCTCAGAATCACTTTCAGCTCCTGGCCACATTGCTAAATTATTCATATTAATTTTCTGTCTCGAGCATTCAACCCAATATCCAGGCGTGGGTATCAAATTATGTGGATATTCCTCACAAAATTCATCTATCGATTGAATGAAAAAAAAAAAAAAACAAATAACATACATGTATGAAATTATATTTTGAGAAAATGGTTTCATGATTACAGTTCCTTCATGTTTCCAAAATGTTCTAACTTACGTGATCGTTGGGCATAACAATATTCGACTCACTGTAAGATTTAACACCAAGCAGTTCTAAATTTGCAAGCCTGTTGTTACTTCTTACAGCCAACCAAATACCGCACATTTCATGAGTAAAATGCATTTACAGCTACTGTATTGATAAGCCTTTCAGAACTGTTATTTTTATATTACATGTTATTACCTGAACATGCTTGCGGTGGCAATGGAAATATAAGCGTAGTTGAACTTTTTCGTCTGGCAACTGCACAACCCAATGATTGTGGCTTGAAGCTACGTAACTGTTGCATGAAGTCGGACTATGTAAAAGAAAATCATTCATCAAATGATTGACGGAGAATGAATGACTTCTACTTATATTTTATTGAGATATAACATCGCCATAAAAAAAGTGCTGACTAGACTTCAATAAAATATTCGGAGAAGTCTTACATTCATTATCGGATATATGAAAAATATATTATCGGGAAGTACTACTAATTTATTTTTATTGTTAAAATTCGAATTTTAAAACTATTATTATGAATTAAACTCACCTCGGCCTTTCGATAATTAGAAAGAATTTGTTTGATTTAAGAAAGTTAAAAATTTATGAAAATTTATCATGAATATATTAATTTCTTACCATTAATGCTACATCAGCGAAGTGAAGATCACATAAAATTTGATTCTTAAAGCGTCTTGCGCGTTTATGATTTTGTCCCGACAAGTTTATTCCGCACGAATTACAGCGTAAACATTCCTTCAATGTTCATTCAATGTACATGATAAATTACATTGGTATCTTTCAAATTAGTTTAAATTCTTACCTCGTGATACTGGTTATTGTCATAAAGTGGTGAAGGTTCTGTAAAGTCAAAAAAAAAAAAATTCAAACATTAGAATGATTCCATTTTAAATAACTTTGAATACGATAAAAATTTAGGTTTTTTGACCATTATTTTTTTCTTTCTTTTGAAAAAATGGCCGCTTTCTTTCTTTTGAGAAAATGTTTATAACAACTTGTTATATGTTGGTTTTTTTCATCACATGGAATTTTCAAAAATATCATAATCAAGTAACGAAATCGCACGCAGACATCCCTTGAATATCGATGTTTCTGGAGAAATAACATATTTTGGCACAATCTACCGAATTTTGACCATATTGAGTGCTTTCGGAACTCGCGAGAACTACCCGCTGAAGTGATAAGATGATTATTTAAATTAATTAATAAAATCAGTACAAATTATACATTTTTAATTTTATGAACATTTTGGAATTTAAAGTGATAAAAAACGGAAACAAATATTTAAATTGATTTATTATCATATGTTGACTAAATATTACTACATCTGTAATAGTATTGCACGCATCACACACTTTCTATATTTTATCATTCGGAACAATGTAACTCTTTTATTTTGTTTTTAAAAAGCTATTACAATTCACAAAATACCTCACATATTTTCATAGTTCATGAATAAATATTTCAAATTTAAGTGTAAAAATATCATTTTTATGAGTAAGTTTTGGACTGCTTTTTGGAATAAAAATATGGTCAGTTTCTCTTTGTATACTATAGTATATTGTCATTGAAAATTTTGTTTTACTTTTCATTTTTCCACATTTCCTATTTTTATTGTGGGATACTGTACTGACATTATGTTAGGTGTGAATGTGGCGCTCACACATAGATAAGATACACAGATAATGGCAAAATCGAAATATAGATTTTGGTGCAATGTACATATGACAGGACAAATTTATTTCACATAATGAAAGATAATATACCCAGTTATGCAAAATTGTATGTACATTTGGTTTAAATTTATGATATTTCATGAACTAAATTAATTTATGATTGAAATATTTTCTTACCAGTTTGAGTGCTTGAATCAAAAAATGTACTAGTTGTTTCAACTGTCATTGTACCGATGGTTCCGTCAGTGATTTGTGCGCATGAGTCCCGTCGGCCACGATAACTGTATATGAAAAAAAGAACCTTGTCATATTCACGTATAAAACTTTGTTTATATATAAAGCTTTTTTTCTGCTTCAGTAAATTAAGATGAATGTTAAAAATGGTTCTAGATTGTGCTTACCGACAAGTGTCATCGCTTTGCGAGCTTTGACGCCGGAAGTTTCTGCAACGTATCATTTCTTCAGTCGTTGATTGACGGCGAAAACCACGTGATATCAATATTTCTTCAGTCGTTGATTGTCGTCGAATTGCAGGTCTTGGTACACATTCTGGTAATGGTGGTGGTGCTCGCGCACAAGGTGAAGCATCCCTGAATAAAAAAATAAAAAAAAAAAAAAATATAATATGATGCAACGTGCCTGAAAATCCAAATTGTTGGTTTTGTCAAATATTTATGTGAAAACTTTAAGAAGTTGCAAATTGTACCTTGATGAACAGCAACTGCTTGATTCAGGAGAACGTGTATTTCGTGCTAAAGATGATGATTGTCGACGTACTTTTGATCTTCTTCTCGGACTGCTGTCTCTATCATGACTACGATCTGGAGATAAATGTTGTCGGGAATCGCGTCTACCACTTCTTGATGCACTATCCGGACTTAATGAATCTCGTCTTGCTCTTCTTTCGCCTTCATCACCATCTACTCCAACTAGTCCGGTTGGCGATAGAGCTGGTTGTGATTCACGTCTGCTTGCCAACGGTGGACATGATTCATCGTATGCTGTCGATTGTCTTTGTAATCTTTGCAATCTTGGTCGTTCTGGGCTAACTCTTGAATCTCTTCTGTTCACTCGGCCACATTGTGTTGTTGAATCTCTTCGACTCGATGGAGGTGCGGTTGGACTAGTAGCAGGAGGAGTCACACTGCTAGTAACTATTGTGGGCGGTGGTAACACTTGGCATCCTGTATCTTGATAATTAGTAAAATAGGGCCCCGAATCGGACGCTGTTGAGCTCGTCGACGGTCGTTGTTCCAGTCGAAAATTTGGTAATTCAACAGTCAATGAGTCACGTCGCTTTTTTGTAGCACCGACTTTTGGTGGTGGCGTAATAGCCCGTGTAATAGCTGAGTCCTTTCTAGCGCTGCGAAAACTTTCACTTGAACCTCGCCTTGAACCGTTTGTTGAAGCACCCGTATCTGTATTTTCTTTATCACGATCTCTGTCCCCTGGACTCTCTTTTCGCTGCCAAATTTTATTAAAATCTGATGTATGTGATTCATGTCGAGATCGCATACTCTTAATTCCTGAATCGGCACTGGATTCCCTACGTTTGCGCTGTGTTACTTGAGATTGATTGTTATGCGAACTATTGTCTGTGTTCCTGCTCCATGGAAGACTTCGTGCAAGATCGGCAAGAGTTTCACGTCGATTTAACGGTGCTTTTTGTCGTTTCGATCCACCACCGCTCCAAGTGAGTAAAATATCAGTGAGTTGCGCTAAAGAACTCCGACGACGTCGTTGAGACGGCGGTGGTGATGTACTAGGTGGTGAAGCAGCTGATATTTGCGCTGCTGAATCTCGACGTCCTCCCAAACGCTGTCTTATTGTTGACTCTTCCAGCTTTTTGATAATTGAATCAATTAAGTATATTAGCATAAGTATAAGTTATATCTATTTGATATGTATACAATCCTCCACCTTCAAAACAATTTAATTGTATATCACAAATCAAATAAAAAACCTCTGACGAGGTGAATAGCGAATGACGAAACCAAAATGTGAAACACAAAATTTCTGATATCAATTTTGTAACGAAAATAAATGATAGATAATTTTTCTGTGTAGTGTGAATGAAAACAGAATATACATTTGAAAATTCAAAACGTTGCAAAAATTCCTCTCTTTTTACTGTAAGTATGGACTGATGACGCAATGCAACGCTCCGAATATACAAATCTATTGAATATATCGAGAAGAGATTATGTTATTCAGCGCTTATGGCTGAGTAATGTCTGAATAAAAACATACTCTCCTCTCGATATTTTCAATAGAAATGTATATTAAGTTTTTATTCACAGTACTCAGAAAAATTATCTATCATTTATTTTCGTCACAAAATTGATATCAGAAATTTTGTGTTTCACATTTTGGTTTCGTCACTCGCTTTCCACCTCGTCAGAGAATTTTTATTTGATTCAATTTTCTGGCCCAAGGGCTTTCCAACCATACATCAACCGCGGCAAAAGGCCTTCTAGGTCTGGATTTCGTATATTTCATGTATAGTCGTTGACAAAACAATGTTCCTACTATGAAAATCACAGATGTATATTACACTGTAATACACGCTGCGTTCTATAATCGCTATAATCTATATGCTGTGGCTGTATTTGTGTTCTGATTATTGGAAATGAAATGATATGCACAAGAACACGTTTTATTTCTCATTTGTATTAGTTCATCTAATTGCGTATATACAAATTATGAATTCCATGAGTTTCAAGTTATCCATTTGGTGCCTCAAAATTTTAAGCATTGCATTGGTTCAGTGGTTATTAGACTGGCCCCCAAAACACAAAAGTTGAAATTTTTTCGCTCTTACCTCGGAATACTTTTCCATATGGTGTGCAAATAACATGTGTAAAGTTTCATGCCGATAGCTCAACGCTAGATGGTGCCGCAAGAGCTCGGTAGGTCATTATGTGAATTCATTGAAAAATTACGTTTTCAGTTAAAATAAAAATATCTTCGCACAACCATATCGACTAAAA